GGAAGAGACTCGAAGTTTTCTGAAATGCTACTCAACAAAGTTCATTGAAACCACGGGCGTAAACTGTTTTCAATCACGATTTATTCTTCTCCATTGAAAAGACTTTCCAGGATAAAAGGGGTGTGTATTATTTCAAAGAGAGTGAACCTCTTTTCATATCGTTCATTACACAAGACTCGAGGCAAATTGGAGACTTATTTGTTTCCTTATGGTTCCGGCTAGCAATCAACGACAACTATTTTTCCTGTGTTACGCATAAATGGCATGTGCGGTTGTAAGTTTTGAGTCTGCGGGTAGATAGCATTATTAATATTGTTATTTGCAATCAAAGAATGTATTTTTGTGGGTAAAAACACTACACCCTGAGGTTAACCGCCTGGTTTGTGAAGAGGAATTCAATGGCACCATGACATTTGGGTGGGGCCATAGAAATTGTAGGTCATAACAATTTGTTGTTTCGTTTCAGAAAGTGTCATGTTTTAAGAATCACTATCAAATTAAAAACAAAGATAAAGACACAAAGAAATTATTGCATTGACAAGCTGCCACAACACGATAAGGTTAATAACATCCTTATATTATAGTGAAAAATTGCTTATATCGAAACCGAAGAAATTCATTTTGCTGAACATCGATAAAGTATTAGCACCAAACGACAGAAGTGCTCTGATTGACAAGTGCTTTTCTAGTGTTGGTGATAATGGTCACATGTTGGTTGGCAAATCGTCCACGCGCCATAGTTTTTTTTGAGTAAAATAAACTGCTGTTTAGCTTCAAGAAAATTGGTTCCATTGACGGAGTAATCTGCTCAGAAACTAGACTAACATAGAGAGAGAAACTGGGGCCAGGATAGAAAGGCCTCTTCTCAGTTTGGATTAAAACCTGATTCAACCTTTCAGTTTATTGCTATATCTTGCAATATCCTTGTTATAGATTTGAATATATTATCGGATAAAATCTTCAATAAATTTGATGGCTTCCAAGAAGCTTTCTTATGTTAAATGTTTGAAAAGAAAAGTGATTCCGTGTTACTGCTGAGATCTGACACAAAGATGAAATCGAGCGAGGATCGATAAGGATTATTGTACATTACGAAAAATGTAAATGAAAGATCTTTCTAACTTTCTCGTATCAATATATAAATTAAAATCACACACGGCGCGTCTGAAAGTCGTGATGAGACCACTTTTAATTGACAATACTGAATCCCTGTAAAATCTACATGGAGGCAAACATTTCTATGTTTTTTAGGTGTTTTACTTTTTTGACCCCCTGTACTATCGCTAAGACGGAGGAAACCTCGAAGAGGAACTTATTTAGATTGGAAACTGACTGAATTTTACTCCATTTCAGTTTTTTTTAATCATTACGTCGAAAATCGCTTTTCTTATCAGACTGGAAACGTGCGGGACTGATGTTAGTTAACATTATAGGCAACCCTGTTTAATACGTCAAAATCCTCCAAAGATGCATTCCCTAACGAGAGAACTGCGAGAAAGAACACTGAAAAAAATATTATCATCAATGTCGATTTTGTCATGCAGAACGTCCTTTCAGGTAAGCATTTACACAGTTCTAGAAAAGAAAGTCAAAACCTTTTAGGATCCTTCATAATCTTAGTTTCAAGGATGTTTGTGACATCATATCTTCGTCGGATCATTAAGAACAAATAAACGGGTAATTTTTCAACATGCCAACGAAGAAATAACTCGCTTTCATTCTAGGTTTCGGTTTACGAAAGCTAAGACGAGAGAACGAGTATATTTTACCACTTGGTTTAATACGAAACAAGACAAGAAAAATGTACCAGTTCCTTATGTCTCTTTCGTTAAAGAACAAATAGAGTAAAGCTTCACTTCTTACAATGCGCCTTCTTTTGTTCAAATGCCGGTATCCGTAGGACGTCTTTACCAAAAAAGCAAATACTCGACTTTTTAACGTTTGCATTCTACGTCGTTCTCTAGCATTTCATTAAATATGCTTCAGGCAACGAGTAGAACGTTCAGTGAGTATTTTAACGTGCTCCTTGATAATTCAATATCCACGCTTCTTTTTCAAATCTAAGCTACTACTTGAAAACGCAAGTCAAGAAAATCGTCATTTATTTGAAGGCAATTTTTCTGTAAAATACCGTTTTTTTATTTTACCACCCAATTGCGAAGTCCGTGATTGTTTCCTCTTCAAACAAGTGACAAACATGACCATGAAAAGGTAGCAGAATTTTTCAAATTGACAGTAGGACCTGAGAGAAACACTTGGAGCTAAACTTTGATAAAATTACGAGTGGCTTATTTATAATGGATGATGAAAGCAGTTGGGCGTACAGTTTTCGCAACGCCGTTTTTTAAACTATATGAAGCAACCAGTAGAACACCGTTTCAAAGAATCCAGAAACTTCTTCAAGGTTTCTTTTCTAATAAAATGTTTTGCTCACCCTCTTCTCTTGAATACCACTAACAGGTAAAAATAGTTCGCAATAAAACAAATTATTTTTACTTAATAAAACGTCCTCGTGCGTGAGTCAGGATATACCGGCAGCATGCCAGTAGTTTTACCGAGGAGGCTGAAGAGAGCACCAGAAGCCCTGCCTACATGCACCTGTTTTGAGGGGATGCGTTCGTTACTGGGTCTGATGGCATGTGGTCACATGAAAAGGGAAACAATAACCTGCACGACACGGGATTTTCAAAATGTTTTTCAACCACAAAGAAAACCAAGTTGCTCTTTTCACGCACTTCCTAACCGATTTGGTCTTAAGTCGAAAAGGTTTCTCTGATGGTGTGAAAGAACGCACTTATGATAAGTTGTACGCAGCATAGAATTGTATTTTTTGGAAGAGATCCAACGTTTGTTTGGTTTAACATTAATTCGCGTTTTATTCTGTGCCTTTTGGCATGTAAGGAAACTGATCTCCGTTGAGGAACGTTAGGTAAGTAAAACAAGTTGCAAGTTTTTCTTCCAAGAAGTTTTAATTTGATATATCAAAGATCTTACTCCGACTGCTTTCTCAAGTTGTTGCAAGAGAAAGTAGTGATTGTAAATCTTTTTAAAGGAGAAGAAAGTTTTGCTTCTAGTCGAACTAAAATCAATTTACCTGAACCAAAACTTCTGTTCACAGCACAAACAAGTTCTGGTATTCAAAACGTAGGTCGACACAACATGGGCAGTTCGTTTTTTTCTGCCACAACATCACCAAATTCACATCATTCTATTCTATCTTATTCCTTCGTTCTGAGGGCGGGTGTTTGGGTAACGGCACGTGGGATATGAAGAGGCAAACAAAGAATAACTCTCTACATGATAAGTTGCAGTTTCCGACCATTTTTTAATTAATTAAGACGTGGGCGAAAACAGATGTGCGAAACAAACCTCCATCTATCAAATAGCTTTTAAATGCGTTTGACTGTAGGTTTACCCAAAAACAATCACAAATGTGTGCCCTTATATTCCAGTCTCTCACGTTGGTGAAAAATCTACACTTATTTACAGTTTACACTCGAGTATATGTCTGATATGAGGGTTTGCACTTCGATAACTTAAACAGTCGCGTGGAGTTGAAAAGCAAGAATACTCCGGCTCTTCTCCGTAGTCGTTCGATAGCCGGCAAATGGTGTCGTTAATGGTGGGGCATGACACAAATACCAGAAAACAAGATTTTAACGGCCACTGAGTTATTGCCCCGAAAAATTTAATAATCCTCTTGGACAGGACTTTTCCATCACTGGAATAATACGCATTAATGTACCTCGTCTACGAACGGTGAAATATTCGCCCTGTTATTTCCCATGCAAGACGTGCTTTAAGGAGCGTACTTTAGGGCACATGTCACGATACAGAAACCACCGAACAGTACTCTGCACGACAGAAGATTTGCATGACACTCTTAACTGAGAAATAACAATAACCCCCTTTCAATGTAACTTTTTTTATTGTTACGTATAGACGGTCAGGCATGTACGTCTACAAGGCGGACGGCAAGCATATGCTCCCACACGAAATGGTTAAAAGGTCTCCAAATACCTTTTTAACCGAAATTAGATTGACGCCTGTTCAGATTTCCTCTGTGATAGTGTCTGGTAGAACGCTGAACAAGCTTTCCGATGTGTAGAGCCTCAATCAACAGTCAGTAAGGTTCGTTTGTTAGCAATGTATTCTGTTTAACACCTGTTTAGCAGAACCTTATCTCGTTCAGCTCTACCTTTATGCTCTACGAAATGTTCCTGTTTAATTAATAGAATCATCTTTCTATATCAGTGAATGTATTGGGCAATCTCTCCTCAAAACAACAAACCCGCTTTTTCCTAATCCTTTACGAAATATACAAGTCCTGTTCATTTAAAAATGCTTAACTTCATTCAATGTCTGTAAAAAGGATCTCCTTTTGTTCTTCCGCAGTAAGACAAAAAATTACCCGTGGATTGCTTCTTTTGCCACAACTGTCTCAAGGAGTCGAGGGAATCCTTTCCTTTAGAACCGTTTAAATCCCTATATTTTCATTTCATGGCAACAAAGTACGAGAAAAGCACGTAGAATCATTCAACTGGCAGATATAGGCTTTTTAACATTATTATCAGGAAGGAACTGTTAAATTCTAAAATTAGTAGTGGCTTTTAAAGAGGGACATGTTTGCTTGGCCGCTGAAGTCAAAATTTAGAGCAAGCTTCTGCTCGCGAGGCAAAAGGGGAGCATGCAGTGATGGTTGTAGACCTCTTCTTATGCGCTGTACAAACTTTGCTTTTTAGTTAGCTTCAGCTGTTATTTAAAGGATGACCACAGAGTAAAAGTATGTCACCACGTTCAAGTGGACGACAACGATGAAGTAGTTTGTCGACGATCTTCTTTCTAAGATAGCTGCTGCTTTATTGAGTTAGGTGAAAACCTACACTCTAGTCTTGAGCTTCCATCTAGGTTTAGCGCTAGTCTCTCTAAGTCCGTGTCGAGCAAAAATAAATTAAATTGAAAACTACATTTTGCAACTGAATATTGTCGCCGAAAATAAGATGTCTAAGAAAAGCGTCGCTGAGGAGTTGACATTGGTCACAACGCACTGGAACTCATCGAACGTCGATGAGTTCTTTTAAACTAAAGTTGTATAGCCAAAGCTCAGTAATCAATTTGACAACTTAGCTTCAGTTTCTCTCTAAAGGTAAGCGGATCGTTACAAGCCAGGACGTGCTGAAAGGGCGATTTTTGCTATCAGGGTAAATTTTAAGGGTCTCAGTCAGTTTTCTTGGGAAAATTATGAAATAGCCTTTTTTTAAACTGTAGTTTTCACTCCTCAAAGGATTCAACCACTGGTTTCTTAGTTCAGGTTTGAGTTGCATCGTAGTAACTGAACACGCTTCCTAACCGCTACCATTTATAAAGCAGTCAAGTCCCCAAACTTTAGTTTTATTTTACTTTCTCTCCACTGAGTGTTAACAATTTATCTTTAGGTCTGATATAGCCCAAAGTCTTTGAAGTTCCGTCACATCACTACAACCTTAGCTACATTTTATTGAAAATACGCTTCATTTCTCAAGTAGGTATCCGCATTACAATCCGTGGAAATGCAAGCGTGGTTTATTAGTTTTCAGTAAACCTGGTGAAATATATACCCTCATTTCTCTTCTTTTGCAAGTCATCATTATTCTAGAAAAATTCTATAAAGGGGCTGCGTCACGGTTGTCTAGCTCGTTTTGTTAACAGTGCCAATTACGCTTCTTTATGCGCTATGGAAAACTGGCTGGGGTGTGAACGACTGCTTTACAGCATCAGGATGGACTCCGGAAGGTCGGAGGGCAAGAGGAAGACCAAAAAGTACTTGGAGAAGGAGGAAGAGCTGGGCGGTAGTCAAAGCGGTTGCACAAGACAGAAAGTGTTGGTCAGGCAGCAGCATGGAGGCCTTATGCGCCAACTGGCGCGATGAGATATGATGATGACTCGACATGATGACTCACGATGATGATGCGCTATGGAACTTAACGTTAGCGAAGAAATTACCTGTAATCGACAAAATCACAGCTTCTTGTCCAACAAATATACCTCCCAGGCATTATATCAAACGTTGCAAACAACAAAATGAACTTATTGAAAAGCTGCTAGACAGTATAATTTGAAGTTTGCAAAAACACTACTGCAATCCGGTTTCAATCTTCTTCAAGTTTGGTCTCCGGCTGTGCCCAAATTTGTATTTGCTGTGTTATTTGTATACCTCCTTTTCACTTTTTGAGCAGTTCTTTTTATGTTTTATACTCACTTTTGTGGCAGTTTTCCACTGTTTCAATTTGATAAATTTCCTAAACACACTGAGCTTCTTTAAGCAAACAGCCGGGCGAAATAACCTCATTTCTCTTCTTTGGCAAGTCATCTTTATCCTACAAAATTTCGTTGAGACCACACCAATATCGATTGCATCCAATGCGGTCACGTATAGAACAATTACGACAGAAAAGGCATGTTTTAAATTAAAAGGAATATATTGACGGCCAGTCATAGAGCTATTGTCTGAGATGTCACGATTCAGTGTCTCCTCAGATTGAAACAAACACAAACTCTTATTAGAGGCTTAATAAAGATCCCAATCGGAACCGATCTAGCGTATCTGTCAACCCAAGGATTTTTAATATATATATATCATATAGGTTGTCTGAGTTTTTCCAATACAATTTGTTCATGTTTTGAGAAATAATCTCTTTAATAGTATCAGTTATCACTGCCCATACTTTTGAAATGGAAATGGCAATCTTGTAGATAGTCACGCAGTATCTATTTTTTGCAAAGTAATCCACCTTAAATGAAACTCTATTATAGTAAGTAAGTAAGTAAGTAAAGCCTTTATTTAAAGAGGGTAGCACCTAATAGCCAAAGGATAATAAACTTGTGGCCCTTATCTACATCTTTCATTCCTTTTAAAGTCAAACGGCACGGCTTAAGTCAGTATAATTCAATTACATGGTTCTTGATTTCGCTAAAAGAACTTAAATATAACCACACAAAGCGCACCATGTTTCATTTTGGCATGGAATTCATTTGACGATTTTACCCAGCGCTTTTCACGGAATATCATTTGAACGGTTGTTTTTACTTAATCCGTAGACTATTGTCTAGCAGTAACATGCAGCGTGGCATTTTTTTATCTGGTTATTTGCAGACCGTGATTTCATAAACAAACTTGTGGATGTTAATTAAAATTTCTAGGCTTTGTACACGCTATGGTGCCTCAGTAGAAATGAATAGAATTTGCCCCAAGGACAGAAAATTATTTCACTTTTCAAGATTTTCAAAGTATGAGCAACAGACGTAACTGAATTGTTTGATAAAAACAGCCTTAAAATAAATTTTAACAAAGAATATATGCAACTTTTGCCTACCTAAACAGCCGTTGAGGGGACAATTGTCAAATAAAAGCGCTCTTAGGGTACAAAAAAAAAAAAAAACCCGAAACTGGTAGCCGTTGCTAACTGATAATAGATCCTAAAACTTCATTGTTTAAAACAAACAAGGACACCAAACAAGGATACTCTAAGAAAATGCTTGAAACGGCGTTCTACTGTTTTTGTCTTTACTTCATTTTAGTCCGATAGGTTGATACAGATTGATTGTTTATTTACATGACAAAAAATATATGGTTAGATTCATTTCAAACACGGCCATTTGTAAAGGCTATCGGTTTTTGCCCTTCAAAAAAGACAAAAGGCGATCTACCATATTGTGTACAAGACAATGAGGCGTCTCAATCTCAAGCCGGCACACAAGCATTTAGAGGTTTCGCGTGTGTTGTTTTGACTATGCGCTAAAAGTGAACTTATAACTAGGTTGCTCCGCATTCCCTTGGACGATGGTATGTTTGTCTTGACATCTGGCAGTCGTGGGAGTGTGGTCGCGCATAAGGGAAACATAAGCTAAAAATAAATACAGCTTAAACAGCACAATTTTACAAAGTCTCCAAGTTGTACTTAATAAATTGCTGTAATTGACTGGAAGCTAAGTAACGGTCCGGGTGACTTTGACGACATCCGGACAAAACCACTCTTTTACACGAGTTTTCCTTCGCATATCTCACATGTTATTTGGAATCACACTTCACAACATCGTCGAGTTTTATATCATTAAGCACTCATGACATAAATTAGGAAAAACAATAAACAAGAATTAATTCAGTGACATCTTCTCTTGTCCTTTACAGGTTCCATATTTCACGTGAAATACCGCATTCTGGCAGGAACCTGTCCCTAATCCGCGGCGGGGAGAAATAGCTCGCAGCAAGAACCAGAGGTAACAGCAACGTCTGAAAATCCATATTAGTCAAGACCCCGCGAATGCAAAATAAGGCAGACTTTGCCAGCGGAGATTGTCATGCTTATAAAAGAAAGTATCATCCAAAGAGGCCAAGACATACAGCATCGCAAGACAAAAAGATCAACCCGAAAACATTTCGAAAGAATCAAAAAGCGACGTTTAGGGCAAAATGACTACAAGAAATGAAATCCTTTATCGCGGAGGATACGACTTTTGAGACTTGCACTGCACTCAAACCTGCAAATAACTCATAGTCCACGGCCTTTGCAAATGTCCCCATATAAAACAACAATAGTGTTGGCTAACACCTACCTGACGGTTCATTCATTTACGAGGTAATTGTAGCCAACAATGGTCTTGAACTTTACTTGAACCGATGAAAAGAGTTGTTTCGTCAAGTGCGCCAATTCGTCTTAAAACAGCGCATTACAGTTTGCATGATTGAGTACTGAAAATCAGAGGCACCTGTACTGCATCAACTGCGGAATTTATGGCGCCTTCCTGGCACATCATCGGGAGAATCTTGGAACTGGGCCTAGTATTTCAGTTCCAGGCCCAAGAAACAATGAGCTCCTGTTACGTCTCAAACAGACGGTCTTAAACTCAACCTTACAAAAAAACTTCAGGTTACAGCTGAGTTTGCACGGGTAAAAGAGTACAACAACAGAGAGCTAAGAAACTAGGCCAAGTATTTTACTTCCATACCCAAGGAAGCTGTTACTGAACAGAGACCTTCTGTTGCTTATCAAATTGACGGTCCCAAATTCACCCTTAAAGAAACTTCAGATTACAGCTTAGTTTGCACCTTTAACTTTTAATGGGAATAAATTACGAAACTGGGCCAATTATTTTACTTCCAGGCCCAAGGAAGCTGTTACTAGAGAGTAAACTTCTGATGGTCTTAAACTCACCCGCCTTAAATAGATTGCTGGTTATAATTCTTGCGGGTGAAAGAGTACAACATTATGCAGTATCGGGCAGTTCCCACCCTAACTGATACTGGGAATAGATTATGACACTGTGCCAAGCATTTTACTTCCAGGTCCAAGAAAGCTGTAGGGAGGGGGGAAGGTTACTATAGTTGTGCATCCTAGTTAAAATGTTATTGCATTTACCCTTTCGAAGGAAACCAAGCAACTAGAGCAACGGGTTCAAAACAGCACTACTCCGCGAGATTACCAGATTATTGAACTGTATTGGCTCCGATTAAGGGAGCCAAATTAGACTCAATAACTAGCGTTCTATATTACTCACTGAAACAGCCCCATTATTTTTTAGGGCTAAAACATACTGACCATTTTGATTACCAGGGTACCCTTACAACAAACAAAGCAGAAAGACGCTGATATTATGTATACATGCAGCATTATTTCTTTTACAGTCCTTTGTTTATATGTTTATTTTATTACTTGTCGTATACGCTGTTTGGAAAAGAACTCATGAATACACCTATTTCACAACTTAGCACCTTTTTCTCCCTCCATAGAAGTTCAAGGGTGATGTTGTTCGAAACATCATGATGCTAATTGCCGACTTGTGATTTGTGTCAACTGTTTACTGAAAATAATGTTTTGGTACTATCAAATGACCTGAGCAGAATACTTTCATTGAAGAGAGATGAAGACCTATTTCTCAGCAAAGATGAAAGGCAAAGTTTCGGTCAAACCTATTTTTCTGCTGCCCTGTTTTGCACATGCTGGAATAGTCCCTTATAGCCTGCACCACAGATGAAACTAAACTCTGGTTAGGTCCATCTGCGAAATGGCAGACACAATCCACGTTCTGGGCCCCCACCTGTGTACAAAGATTTGAGTATGTGATATGATTGGCCTGTTAAAAAAGCCATCGTCCATTTGCCAATCAGTTTAAAAGGAAATCTGAGATGCTCTTCTGGTAATTCATTGATCCTTTTAAGGGGCCCAGAACTAGGATCTCGTTGCTGCTTCACAGATGTTACTAGCCCGGGTTAAATTATGTCTAGGAAGCAGGCTACCCCTTCTATGGCTAAACCATCACAGGACAGCAAAAACCAGGCACCAACGTAGTCTCTTGATGACTGCTCAATGCTCTAAGAGCAACTGTTTTGATGCATGTTATTGATACAAAAGGAAGAAAGTTTTATTCCAATGTTATTACTTAACAAGGACATCAATTTCATAGAATTATAGTGAACCTAATGACATCAATGCAAGAGTATGCATCAGTAGTTTTTGCAAATTTACCGCAGTATCTCTGCAAGGCTTTAGAAAGAGTGCAAAAGAGAGCCCTACGAATCATCTTTGGTCCTGACTTGAGCTACAAGGACACCCTCGCGCGTGCCGGGCTTCTGTCTCTAGAGGCCAGACGCCACCTGGCGTGCAAGAAATTTGTGACGGAAACTATGCACGCTAGCCCGCTTTACCGCCTAATATCCAGCAGGGTCATCTCGTCGCAAACCTCGTATTCACTGAGGTCAGGACCATCATGCCATGTGTTACCCGGCTGAACTGACCGGTTCTCAGAATTCGTGTCAGTTAAATATGCGCCGTATATCAATTGTGTGTAATAATGTGTATGCGATGTCTACTATATTACTACTTTATTATATTTATGTTTTTATATTTATATATTTATATTTATAATTGTATG